GCTGGTGTGTGGGTTGACTGAGACTGTCCTCACTATTCTTCGCCTCTGCTAATCTAAGATTTTCCTTGATCTGTCACTTCCGGTGACAGTGGAAACTGACAGCTGAAATCTCCGAGACAGCTTTTTGTATCCTTCCCCTAAACCATGATGTTGAACAATCTTTGTTTTCAGGTCATTTGAGAGTTGTTTTGAGGCTCCCATGTAGCCACTCTCGAGAGAAGATGCAAAGAGGAGGAAAATTTGCAATTGGCCACCCTAAATACCCTTCTCATGTCTGGATTAGTAATAATAATAATGGATTGAATTTACAAAGTGCTTTACAATTCCACTATTCATTAACTCTCACATTCACACACTGGTGGAGGCAGCTACAGTTACAGCCACAGCTGCCCTGGGGCAGACTGACAGAAGCGAGGCTGCCATATCACGCCATCGAGCAACCAAGACAGACAGACAGAGCTGGGGATCGAACTGGCAACCTTCTGATTACAAGATGAGCTTCCCAACCCCCTGAACCACGGTCACTTGTGTATGTAGGTCAAGGGTCAATGAGCTCACCAAACAAATTTTATGTTCCAATAATTAGTGCTAAAGGTATTCAAATCAATAAAATGACAAGGGTGCCCAAATTTATGCACCTGCCTAATTTAGTTTACGTAACTTCTGCACACTTTCTGTAAATCCTATAAACTTTATTTCACTTCTCAAATATCATTGTGTTTGTCCGCTATATGATATATTTAAATGAAACTGCTGATCCGAACAACCAATGATTTATGAAGGAAAAACATGAAAATGATCGGCGGTGCCTAAACTTTTGCATACCACTGTATGCAGGGCCGGATCTACAGGGGTGGCGTGTGCCACCCTACAAAAATCTCTTGCCACCCCAGTTTAGCATACAATTAAAATAAGCTAGCATTAGCCTGGCTACAGTTAACATTGCCTATAAATCCTAAAACTGAATACAAAGTGTGTGTCCCCCCCCCAACCACCATTAACAGTGGTTCAGCCCATAGCGCAGACCGGCTTTACTGTTTGTTGCTACTGACAACAGGCAGTAAAGCCGGTTTCAGCATGGGTGGTTGGTTGTGACACTTTAATGGGGGGGTGTTTCCTGTTTTAGCTGTTTGGTGGTTGTTGAAACAGTTTTGTGAGCTTCAACCTGAGATTCTGGCGTCTCTGGTGAAATACATTTATTTTTAAATCATTCAGGATTTAATGAATTGATGTCGCTTTATTCAAGTTAAAATTGATTTTAATCAGAAATGTGATTTTAAACCCAGCCCTACTCACTCTGTCCATTCACCTATGCTTTCAAATGTATAGACAGGTAGGCCTACAGGAATGTGTGGACCACAGCCAATCACAGAGGTCCCGCTCTCTGATTGACTTTGACCACGATGTGGGCATAATGTGTGTCTGCTGTTGACCATGCGGAGACTTTCAGAGTTTTTTTAACGGCTGGTTGCACCGCTGCAACCAAGGATGTTTGTTTTTTTTTAGTCGCACCATTGAGGAATTAGTTTCCAGTCTAGAGCCCTGTATGACTCTCTCTCTCTTCCACAGCATGTCTTTATCCTGTCTTCCTCTTCTCCCAACCGGTCGCAGCAGATGGCCCCGGCTCTCCCTGAGCCTGATTCTGTCGGAGGTTTCTTCCTGTTAAAAGGGAGTTTTTCCTTCCCGCTGTCACCGAAGTGCTTGCAAATAGAGGACTGTCTGATTGTTAGCTTTTCCCTGTGTTATCGTAGGGTCTTAACCTTACCATATAAAGCACCTTTGCTGATTTGTGGAACTTGGTCAGTCCGGTCTAAAGGTGTTTTTAAGGGTCACAAACAGACACTGTGTGTGTGTGTGTGTGCTGCAGATCTGCCGTTGAAACCACCACGTTCAGTCAGCCTGGTATTGATCTCCACCTGGAGTCTCCTGAGCAGTAAGTACTGTCCTTTCTACTCAGCAGCTTCACTCTGTTGCATCACAGTTTTTCTTCCCCCAAAAGGCAAACAGCTGCTGCCGACATGAGTAGATCTGATCGTTCTTTCTTGGATGAAGGGTTACTCTTTTACTGGATGTTCTCATAAATTAGCAGGGTTGGAACAGCTGTCATGACGTCATATGTGTGTTTTGTAGTCCATTTTTTGCTGAAGTTAGTTTGTTCCGATATCTGAGCACCGCTCTGCTCGCCTCTTATTCCTTATCAACTTTTCTAGCTGATGAAGTTTTCATCAGGTCATGGAAAGGTAGTGAAAGAGGCAGTTTGAAACGGTCCTCATATTTGTGAAATGTGTGACGGCTGACACCTGCTGGTCAGGAGCAGGAACTGCATGCATGTGACTGAAGATCATGGATCTTTCCTTTCATTCTGCTCCTTCAGGATCTGGATCTAACTCATAAATGTATTCCCAAAAGGTTGGTTCTGTTCATCTTTTCATCATCATCAGGTGACTCCTTCAGTCTCAGCTGGCTGCAGGTTTCCAACCTTATAAACAGGACATGAAACCAGCACCACTGATTTACAATGGGCTGTGAGGTCAGTTTATGATCATTAACATGCAAATGGTCATGACCACTGATCAGTGTCCACGAGTACCACTCACAGAGAGTTGGGGAATGGCTGCAGTCACAGCATTGTAGGATGGTGACAGATGTACCCTTAGGCCCCTCCTCGATTCAGAGATGGTCTTTTCAATCTCCCACTGAAAACATCCAGATGAACAGAATCAATTTTTGGGGATTTCCTTACCTGCTGTTAGAGTTTGTATTGTTGATTGTCATTTATGCTTAGAAATATTTACTTATATATGCTTAGAGTTTTGTAATTAGTTGTAG